CACACACAATCTCTCTTTTTTTCTCTCTCTCTCTCTCTCTCTCTCTTACACACACACACACACACTGTATATATCTTGTTATGAAACTTTGAACACCCTCCTGGCATCAGAAAATCATCCCTTTAAACCCCTGTAAGTGAATTAATGAAAGAACGCCAAGTTTGTTGAGTGTGTGTATGTGTGTGTAAAGAGAGAGAAAGAGCAGTGAGTAGGTGGGTGCTTTTTCTGTGTTTCTCTCTTTTATGATGATGATCCACTATCCAAGTAGCGAAATTCTACATATATAGTTCTTTTAAGTAATTAGCTGTTTTGTCTCTTGATAGTACAGGCACAGAGTGATGTAAAAACATACCCACACTATGCTAATACAAATACAATATACAGTATGTGCTTCTGTTCAGCCAGAATTCAAAGAAGAGTGGTTTGGATGGGCGTAAATGTTTTCATCTTATATGCAGCTTTTAAGAAAATAATGAGCCAAATGCAGGAAAGTGTAAATAGCCCAAATTAAGCTTTATCCTAACAAACAGCAGGAGTAGGACTCATCATGAGACTTATTCATTTAAAGGAGATCAGCATTGTGTTTTTAACAACATTATTTAATGTGTTTTCATAAAATAACTACGTGTATATATACACACACATATATAATATATATATATATATATACATACATGTATTGAAAGGATCCTTAACCATAAAGTTTACAGTAATTGTAGCTCAGCAATCAGAACGCTAAAGGTCAGTGCGGTCCCTCAAGAGTCCAGTAGACCAGTTCAGGAAACTGGCTAGCTAGCCACTCGAATTCAGAAATGAGCTGGATTTGACTTTTTAGGGTGAAACCATGCAATGGCTGTGCTGTGAAGATGGGAGTTCTGGGTGCTAAGGGCTATGCTTCTGGGGGTTCACTAGCTGTTGCTAGCTCTAAATAGCTTTACTGTGAAGATGTTGAAGATGGCTGTTGATCTCTACGTTTAACACATGGAAGAAATGGAAAGTGAGACATCTGCTTGATTATGTCTCACTTTCCATTTCTCCATGTGTTAAACATAGAGATTAACAGCTCAGTTAAGCTAAGGCTGAATAACAGAAAGTAATAGGAAGAGTGCAGCACTGTTACTATTGCTTTGGAAGGTAATGTGTCTACCTTTTAGTAGTATTTTGATTCCATTTTCCCAGCACTGTAATCACATGTTTATTTACTGGTAAAAGTGGTGTAATCTATATTACATTATTAATCCCTAAAAGATGTATTCCATATATTCAAGTATAAGCTATCCTCATTTATGTAAAGTAGTGTTAGGAAGGAATTATACAATATAAAGCCTACAAAGCAAAATGAAACAAGCAACATAATAAGTACATGAAATGCTGTGATCAGCCAGGATGCCTCTGCTCTGGTAGAGTTTAATTTCCCCTTAATGCATTGCAGTAGTCAGGAAGAAACAACTGGTTTTAGGTCCTGGAATCCGCTGACAAAGCCAAATGCTGAATTAAGTCTATTTCTGTCTTTCTGACTCCCGCAGAGTCTATAATACTTTGAAAGTTGTTATACTGTGAGCTGAGGACAGTCATTTTACTGCTTAGGATGTCTGCCAGTTTGCAGCTGACCTCCTTTTCAAAGTCTGAATTTAGTTTTACTCAAATTGTTGTGGAGAGATCGCTGAGGTTGGTTTGTAGATAGAGATATCAAGCAAGTGCTGGCTGATGCTGTTAAACCAAACCGGCCAAAGAAGAAAATATTATATTCGCTGTTCTTTGCCAGTCATGACATGTTCATGTCATACAGGGATTGAAGTAATTACCACTTTAAGACTATGTTATGTAACTATGTTAACCCAGTCTCACTCTGAAGTCATCAAATACTGCTGCTTGATAAAGTCAAATGCATTTTCTCATCTCTATCACTTACGTCATGTGACTTACTTACGCTATGCTGTTGCTGGTACTCTCCACTGGTGATATGTCGTTTTAAGAGTCATTAACAAACAATCTATTCTGTCCTTTAGGTATGAGGACATACTGAACCCAGTTGTTCCAAACACAGGGTTCGGGTCTCGAGATGAATCTAATGGGTCACCAGATGATTTCTGGGGTGTAGGCTATAATGAAAAACAAAATTCTGCTGCATACATCACTTTTTTACATTTCTCTTTGTGCTTTTCATGTGAAATACTGTGTTACACCTTCAGGCCTTAAAGACTATTAAATGAAACACACTAATAAAGAGAAAGATCAGGCTTTGCATTTATAGGTCATAAGAATAAATGTGGGGAACCACTGCCCTAAACCACCATAGATTCCAAGTACAGTGTCACAGACAAGAACACAAGTTCTTTCCTGACCTCATGACAATATGAAATTCAAGAAATATCTTGATGTCCTTTGATTAATGCCAAAAACCCACAGATGATAACATCCTGTTCAAGTGTGACTCTTTCAGAAGCAGCTGGCTCAAGAAACTCAGAACTCTCAATAATCTTCATGGGGTGACTTTTAATTTCCCGCCAGCAATCAATTTTGTCAGGTGTCAAACATTTCAAAGAGTAAAAACTTCACAGCAGGATCATACCTCCTGTATGGATCGTCTCGGGTCAGTGATTAAAAAGCATGTCCTAAACCCCGGGTGAGTTTTCATCATAACTACCTGGGGTTCACACCCTCAGCTCTGCCGTGTGTGTGCGTGTGTGAGAGAGAGAGAGAGAGCATGCACCAAAGCCTGAGCATGTAGAGGGTATACTTTTGTGTGTGACTTCATTCTGTGTGTGCGAGAGAGCTAAGCAGAAGTGTCCACAGTGTGTGTTGTCCCACGTACCTGCTTAAACAGTGTGTTTGCATGCATGTGTGTGTGACCTCGCCTCCAGAGGAGATGATGAGCTTATTATGGAGAGACACGAAACAGAGATTAAGGAGTAGATGAGAGGAGGCAGAGGGATGGAGGGATAGAAGAGAGGAAAGAGAGACATAGAAGTCAGACGAACAGACAGAAAAGCAGAAGGATGTTCAAAGACGGACGAAGAGGGTCTGACAAGATGGGAGGGGTGAGGAGTGAGGGGAAGGAATGATTGTGTCAGGGTCGGGAACAGGTGGAGTGGGAGGTATGGAGGAATAGAAGGAGGATAGACAAAATCAAAAAAAAGAGGAATCAATGAGGCAGTGTAGGGATAAACAAAGGAACAATGGGGGGATAAACATAAGGAGGAATATAGGGAAGAAGGAGGAAAAGGAAGGAATGAAGAAAAGCAGGAGGGAGGGAGACACGGATTGATTGTAGAAGTTAGCCGTGGTTGCTGTTGTGGAAAGAGACAAACTGTGTGTCTCTGTGTGTGTGCTAACTGACACAATGAAAAAGAATGTGAGGGAGCAAGGGAGATAATGAAGCTTAGAACTGCAGGGAGACAAAAAATATAGCAATACGCTGAGTCTTTTTCAAAAATTTTGCTTTATTTTTTTTCCCCTGGAAGTGCCGGATGAGAGTTTTGGAGGTTGGATGTGGTAGGTGGCGAGGTAGGGGTGCACAGAGAGAGAGAGCAAGAGAGAGAGAGAGCGAGAGAGAAGGGAAGAAGTAAATGTGCTGCCTTTCTCCATCTCCTCCCTTCTCCCTCAGTGTCTCACTTCTCTCGTCGCTTCGTTCATTGGATTTTCCTTGAGCTAAAGAAGAGGTAGGAAAGAGAGGAAATAAAGACTAGACGTGCAATTAGCTGCATTGTAAAGAGAGAGAAACATTGGAGGTGAGGAGACCAGGCTGAGGAGAGGAAGAAGAGAGAAGGGGGAGGAAGAAGAGGAGGGATTTTGGGAAAGCAAGACAGCCACTGTGCTGGAAAGACGAGAGGAGAGAGGGAGTCGTGAAACAAGTAGGCTAAGTGTAGAATGGTGAAAGTTGTCAGAATTCCAAAAAAGACTGTCAGAAAAGAAGAGGAAGACGAAGAGGAGGCAAAAGAGTGACAAAGAAGGAAGAGAAAATAAGGGGGGGAAGAAAAGGAGAAGAAAGAGGTCTGCCAAATCCACAACTGACACACGTAAACCCTGGCCAGCCATCCATCATCCAGGATGGACAAAGTGGAGCGAGTGATGAAGATGGTTAAAAGGATGTCACCGAGGAAGAAGAGGAGAGAAGGAGGAGGGGGAAGAGGGGGAGGACCAGGAGAGCTGGAGAGCCCGGACACCTTGTGTGATGAACTCTGCCGTTTCAGCCTCTGCATCAGCGGTGAGAGGTCGCACCACTGTGTGTGTGTGTGTGTGTGTGTGTGTGTGTGTGTATGTGTGTTTGTGTTCATGAATGATACCACAGCAGTGTGTTCATGTGAGCGCATGTGTGTCTGTATTTCAAAGACACTGCTTCTGAGAGAGATTCAGAGAAATGTGTATGTGTATGTGTGTTTCTTTATTCTGCATTGATAGTGTAGCTAATCTGCAAACCTATACTTTACAAACACACCCAGTTTAACAAGTGGACTGCTTTGGTTGGATGGAACATAAAGATACTGCAACAGTGTGTGTCTGTGAGTGTGTGTGTGTGTGTAGGGAGGGGGTCTTTTTTCCCTCTGTGTTAAATAAAACATGCAACAAAGAACATTCTAGCACTTTTGACTATGTATTTAGCATATCTGCTCACAAATTCCTGTTCAGTGTAGGTTTTATGCGATGATCAGAAGACTTAAACTGATCCGTACATTTCCTTCACAACTGACCTCCCTGATCCAGACTAGTGTTTACAGCAAAGCCACAACTAGCATGACATTCTTAAAAAAACACTAATAATCTTAGGGAGGAAGTCAGGGTAGATGGTTGGGTGTGCACAGTGTTTGACTTCACCACTGGAGATCAGGCTTCGTGTCCCATCTCTACAACACTGGTTTGTTTTAACCATGAACACACACTCTTCCAACCTTAGCCAAGCAGTTTTAGTTGTCTTAATCAGATCTTAGCCATAGAGGTGGCAGAAAACGCTCATGTCAGTTGTTTTCAAAAGTTGCAAATAAAGCAGCATGTGATACAGAGCAGGATACAGCCTGAACAGGACACCAGCCAGATCTGAAACATACAGACAGCCATTCACACTCACGTTCACACCTACAAGCAATTTACACAACCTGCATGTCTTTGGAGTGGTCAGACACTTTTATTTCAAATGCATACCATCCTTCCTTCCTTTTAGTGATTTACATTGCTCCTTAGGTATTGTTTGCGCTTTCCCACTGTTGTTAATACTTCTCACTGGCAGACTGGGGCATTCTAATATTTCTGAACAATGAAAAACAACAACTTCCAGTAAGCTGATTAATGACCAACTGCACTGTATCTCCAATGAATTACATTCAAATGCAATAACTCTGCACCAGCAATAACTTTTTGGGGAAACAAATACAACAGCAGAATATGTAGGAGACTGGAGGAACGTGGCACTGCTGGGATGACTTAAGACATTTTCTCCCACAGTGACAGAAAAGTTCGGCTCTCAGTTTTCTTGTGGCACTGTTTTGTTTTGCATTGCTGTTCAGCTGGCTTAATTAGTTAGTGCTACCATTTAATTAGGTCTGAGCTGGTTAGTGTTGATGCTACAGTTTGTTAGGTACCTCATGTTCTTCAAAGACTTTGGAAAGTGTTTCACAGCGAGTTCAGTTTTTGTGAGGTTTATTTTTTAACTTGCTTTGATCGTACAACAGCTCAGTGAAGAGAGCGAGAGGGTGAGTGTGGTAGAAAACGTATAGAGGAAGAGGGTATACAGTAGTAAATGTTAATGTGCGAGAGAGGGATGTGTGAGTGTGGCGATTTTCCTCTGCCCCCCTCATATATCCTTTCATCAAACAATCTTTTTAATCACTCAGCAGAAACTGCAGCAACCAGACTTCAAACAGCATCAAACAACCATCTGAGAACCAAACATTACACTGCAGGCGGGGGTCACTTTGAAACAAGAGGGAACACAAGCATATCAAGGCAAACATCCCAATACCCCCCCTCTGTTCCAGCACAATAGATGATGTTTTTATACTCACATGACATATACCATTTGCTGGATGCTTTTATCTTATGGCAACAGGAGATCATACATGTTTATCATGCATGGTATGTATCCAGAAGGGTGGGACCAATTGATTGCTTTACCAGTATGTAATATTGATATTTGCTTCTTATCTTAATGCTGGATATCAACCAGAGAATAATCTTAGTAGACAGTCACCCAACTTTAATAAGCAACTAGCAAGTTTCAATAATAGTTTTAATTGCATCCTATTTAGTTTAGTTGTGGTTGGTCTAGGGGCCAATGACAATTCTAGATCGAGAGTCCACAATATACTTTTCAGGGGAATCGGACATTGCTGTATTTACTGTCCTTTTCCAAAATTCACATAACCTCATTGACTAGCGGATCTGCAAAATGTAAAATAAGCCTACTAGAAGGCTATGGTGATTGGATGAATTACTCTAGGTGGCTCTTCCTTAACGTATTGTAAACAATGCAATTGACTCATGAGTACTTGAAAAGTGTTATGTTATGATTAGGCCTATGTTATCATTTGGTTTCTGTTTATAACTTCAAAACTCACTTCACTATTTTGAAACCTCTGTAGAACCTTTAATACGATATTGTGTTTTAATGGTGCAAATGGGAAAATTTATAGGCTTTCCACTTTGCATTCCACTTAGGTAATATTTATTACAAAACGTGTACAATTCTTTACCATTGCTGCCAGGAAATGAGATTGGCACCCATTTTGATATACGCTAAAAAAGTGAAGTCAGAGCCATGCCAGTAGTAGCTTTGGGAACAAACTCTTATGGGCTAAAAGTGAGGAGTATTATTTTCCCCCTTTTCTGGCTGATAGTGCCACGGAAACTTTGGTCCTCCCATGAGAGTACAGTGTGAGCTCCAACTGCATACAACACAGTTCGACTGGACCAATCTCAGACCACTTTGTACAGCTAGACTCAACTATGGTTTCTCAGTCCATGCCTAGTTTTGGAAAATGCATTCATATATAATTTTTTTTAGATAAACAATTCTTGGACTGGCATACTTGTAAAGAAAGATGTGTGATATAAACCCTCATTAGTTTCATTGGATAGTTGTTTTAGAAGCTTTTCCACTCTGACATATATAACAGCTTGAAAAGATAAACTTAATACATGTAATGTTGGCACAAGGCATTAGCCAATCTGGGACACAAAGATATCTGTTAAACTTCCCAAGTCCTATCAATCAAAGACACACACCTTTGGCAGTACAATTCAATGTCCCTTGTTAACGGCAGGTCTTATGGCACTCTTCATTCACAGCTATAAGTGCAGTGGCTGACAGATGGTGATAGGCACAAACTACAGTAATGTAAGAGAAAAAAAGCATGGAGTACTTTGTCTGTTGTCTCTGAACAATGGATGTGTATGTGTACATGTCTGTGTGTAAGTGTTCAATGTGTGTTAGGTGGAAAATAAAGAGAGACATTACTGGCTAGAGTGATATATGGGAAAATTATGGAATGCTGGAAAATAAGAACATTGCCAGGCTGGACCATTATATATGTCTCAAAACATGATGTTCTCTTGCCAAAATGGTTCTGTGCCACAAATGAATGTCGATAAAACTACCAACTGTCATGAGCTCAATTTGAATGAGTATGGTAGATGTGCCCTGCAGCAAAAATCTAAAATAACCCTTAGGTGAATTAGTTGAAAGCCAGGGTAAGGGCACCGGTAGAAAGCAAACTGCACATGAAATCATAGTAAAATAGCCACAATAACTCAGTCCATATGTTGATATAAACGCAATGTTCTCAAGATGTTACCATTTACGTATGGCATGCTGGAAAATATCTAATGTCTATAAAAAGACACTGGTGTCCAAAGCTATTTCAATTTTTAACTAAATGTAAAAAGTGCATTTTGGATCATTTATATCTTACTTCAGTTATTTGTTGGAGTGGGGCAACATATATACCACTGAATCCACCGTATACAACAATATTACTGTTACTAACAAAACTGAGAGATTAAGTTTCATTAAAAAAATTCCCTGTGAAGTATATTAAGCCAAAAACTAATTGTTTTGTTTGTTTTTGTGTCAAGACAAGATTGTAATATTCATAAAAGGAAAATATGGCAAAAATAGATGATGGAACAAAACTTAATGACATTGAAGAGTGATAGGTTGTATGTAAAAATGACAACTGATTATGATACTTTAGAAGGATCAAATGTGTCTTAGAGAGACTGTGAATATGGAAGCCATCTCCAAGTCTCTAATATTGTAAAGCCTTTTCAGACGTGGTTTATGCATCTGTGTTGTGGAACCTAAATATACCCAAAAGCTGCTGAGCCTCTGCATTATTTCCATGAGAGCCAAATTTTCATCTCAAATCTGCATCTTATAATTGTGCCTCCCGCGCTGAAATCATCAGCTCTCAACTCCAGCTGAAATTCTGCAGCAGCTGACAGATAATGCAAACTAGATGTGTGATTGGGATGGGAAATACCATCAGCCGGCAGCTAAATCCTGCTCCAGCAGTCAAAACTCCACCTTTACTGGAGCTGTGGATAAACAAACCCCACATGCCTAAACATTTCAAAGTTTAGGCATGTACAGGGTGCTACAGAAAGGTGTTTAACTGGTACTCTGTGACCTTTTCATTTAACTTCTAAGACACACTGCAGCATATCAAAAACAACAGAGTTTTGTTCTGCCTAAATCTCAAATTCAGACTGCAGCAGAATATATCATCCTTCTTGAACTGCCGTGTTTCTATAGTATCCCAGAATGGACAAACCAAACACTGGCCCTGGATAGGAGCTTTTGCTTACATGTGTGGAACGGGAGGGTGAGGCAAGGGCAATGTAATCTGCAACTACACTGCTAGATGCCACTAAGTGCACAATTAACTAACATAAATTGTAGATACTATAGTAGGAAGGTTAAAGAGAAAGCTGACTTCAAAACATTTGAAATGAACTGTACTTCACCCTTCAACCAATCCACCAATCATCACCCTATTATTTCCTACAGTTTAGTAATTTACATCCTATTTAACTTTTTGCCCCCACCATATCCCATTTGTGGATAAGGTGTCTCACTTTTTATAGTTGGAATAGGAATTTGCATTTTAAAATCATGTTTATTTGAAAAACAATTCTAGAGGCTCTGCTGGTATAAAAATATCTCAAAAAGCCAACTTACAGTGACAATGGGAAATGATTATTAACCACAAATGC